TTATAGTTACAGGCAGAAAGCAAATACAAACAAAGACTTTACACTGGAGCAAGATTGACAGAAACAATACTTCAGGTCATATATCAATATATTCAAAAAAGGAGGTGGTTGACAGCAGGAAGCTGGTCCGTGGATTGGGGATGTTTTTGACTGTATAACACATCTCACATGGGCTCCTGCTGAGTTTCAGCCTCCACCATAGTATATTGACTGAGTGAGGCCCTAAAGAACCGTGCAAGTTTTACTTCTTCTTGAGAGCTTGTTGATTGTAGCTCTGATTCACTCATTTTGGCTTGAGTGGCACTAAAATTGTGAAAAATTGGCTTAGTGACATAATGGTAGGAATATCCATTTTTATAGAGACTTTGGTCAAAATCTGAATATTTTTACCAACATTTGCTTTCATTTCTCGTTGATATTTCACAAATATTTAAAAATTAATATTAAAGATACAATTTAACTTCCCGGAGGCAAGTAAATTAAAAACAAAGTATGTGATTTCCCAAGACTTTTCTGTACAAAAAACTAGTATATATTAAAAAAAAACAAACACCTGATGTAAAACAGCAAATTTTAGGCTGATATTAAGAAAAAATATAGAGAAAATCAGTCCTTCTCTGCTGTATTTTCTTGTATTAATGCAGAAATACACAATTCAAATGTTTCAAATTAAAAGAGAAGATCCTTAATAGAAATATAAATATGCATAAATAAATATACACATTTACTAGATTTTAGGTATGTTTTAAAAAAAACTGCCAGAAAATAGGTATTTACAAAAGTACAATTACAATCCTACGTTATATCAAAACCACGATGGAGGCGGACGGGCTTCCAACAAACCTTTTGATTAGTAAGTGGTCTGCTCTACCTCCTGAGCCACAGCATAATATGTACAAAAATGGTGCTTCAATTGACAGACAGAACGTTGTTACCAGATTACTAAAATAAAAACGATGCACTCCATCCTTCTCTGTGCTTTGATTAAAGAGCAGCTCTTGTCCTTAACCTCATCCCTGTGTCTCATACAATTAGAAGAGCTTTACGCCGTCCTATTCTTCAGGAGGGCTGAATTAACTCTTTGTGGAAAGAAGTGATTTTTTTTCTTATGAATCGTGCAAAAGTACAAAAGGATGAAAGAACTTTTTTTTTTTTTTGAAACAGGCATGTTTGCGTTAATGACAACACAAGAATCAGACCCTCTCCATCCCTTTTCTTTCTGTCGTCACTCAAGTCAGATGCTGACATTAACCTACAGCTGTCTTCCTCACAGCTGAAACAAATTCACAGGCGTGCCATGAGAAGGAGAACATGTAGCTAAAACTGTCTCTGTCTTTGATTTGACTCTCAAATTTTCTTTACCTTTCCCAGCAGCATTTTAAAAAATTTTTTACATAGCAGTACACAATATGGGCCTTCCGTTCCTGAATCACAAATTTCTCTCCATTCGTGTGACTGTTTTTTTCTGAAGCACAATACTCACATATTTTACAAGGACAGAGTCGTGAAAGGAGCACAGGATACAGCTGTGTATTACAGCCCTATTATTTAGCTGACAGTCCAGCCCTAATATTTTTAGAATGGTTGTTACTGTTTTAGCATAGAAACTACCAGAATCCTCTACATGTTATTTAAGAGGGAACCATAGGACTGATGTAGCATCTGCAAGGATATGGACGCTGTATTGAACCACACCCACAAAACCGTTGATTTATTTTCCTAATTTCACCTGTGCCAATGAAGAGCAACAAAGTGAAGTAGTTTCAAAGGGTTTCACTTCAAGATAAGGAAAGCCCAGACTGGACCTTCTTGTTAAAGTCACCCATACACGTAATTAAAAAGCCTCCTGGTCAGTGTTTTCTGGCTATCTTTCCAGCAGGGTCTATGATGAGGCAGGCACAGCAGACATGGGAGAGATCAGGTTTCTTGGTTAGCTTGTGAAGACCTTGCTGTCCTGGAGGATTTAGTAGAAGATAAGGAGAGGGAGGTCCAGCCATCTCTATCTAGACTGCTGTCCCTGCTCTGACCCATATAAACCGTCTTCCAGCTTTGGATCAGCCCTACTCTCCTGACGTCATCTGTATGTGCACCTGCAGAGCAGACGATTGGTAATTATCAAACAATCAATATACTTCACTATTTATCAATCAGCATGATTAATCAAAAATTGAAATTCATTGATTTCACATTAATTCACTTTTTTTTGTCTATTTAAAACGTTCGAATGCCTGCAAGCTTCTACTGTTTTTAGCATCCCAGCACTATAAACGTTGTGTAATTACAAAACTGCAGGAGCGACATGATGTGTGACAGAGGGCCACTTCATCCACTTCACGATTTGACAGTGGGGCAGCCTCATGCCTCATGGACTTATCAGGACCGTGCTTCCAACTCCTCGAGTGAGAAAACAAAAATAAATAAAACATTTGCAGAGTTTCTTACACTTTCTTTAGTGTAAGAAATAGTTCTTACACTATTTCTTACAATAGAAATAGTTCATGTTTTGCACATTTATTGCTTGAACAGTGTTATTTGTGCACTATTAATTGCTAATAGATGTGCTCATATGATAACAACCATGAGTGAGAATGTATCCAGTTAATATTGACAGCCCCTCTTCTCAATATGTTGCTTAGAGCTATTAGTGGTCAATAATATTATACATTTAAGCTGCCTGGTATGCCATAGTAAACATATATTTTCGCTAGTGTAGTGGTATTTGAAAAATTTAAATCACGCATGAAATTAAGTGACATGCCAGATGTACTGCTGTCGAGTCCTGCAGCCAAGCATCAGCTTCCTGCTGTGTTTTTTATGACAGCTACAATCTTTAAGGACCCCACGCGCTTCCTTCAACGTTAAAGTGCAAAAGATCATAAATAAATAAACATTGGCCAACTTAATTTTACCCTCCCCCATTAGTTACGTCAAAGACTTGTGATGAGAAAGTTTAAAGCATACATTTGGTAGCTCTTTCCTAAATGGGTACCCACAAACAACTCTTACTCATCACTAAACCTTCTGGATGATTGAAAGCTGAGTGAGTGCATTTAGGGAGCATTTTTTGTATGTATGTATTGTCACAGAGGAAATCATCAGAGCCAGATGGATGACCAGTCATTTAGGCTGCAAGGGCAACTGGAGTTTCAGAAAAGCAACACAAACATTGCTTACTTCACTGAATGGCTTTTATCAACTGGGCGCAATCAGGTCAGTCAGGTTAGGAGCACTGCGAGGAATTTGAATCAGATTTTTTGGTTGACAGTCACAACATTAAAAGACGAGCTTTCTCTTTACCGTCCTGAAAAACCAGAAGAGTTGTTTTTTCAGATGTTCAGTTTTAATCACTTTTTAGTCATTTAATCATCCATTACATTGGAAATGGGCTTTTAAGCACTACATCTATCCAAAAGTATCCCCTCCAATTAAATTTCACTAAATTCAATTCCCACTTGGGCTACAACAATCTAATCCCTGCATCACTGTATCCGGCTCTCAATAAATCCATGATCCCAAGTCAAAGAAAATATTCTAAACATAACAGGGTCCAAAATTAATAGATTTTCTCTTTAGTAAATAAAATTCCCAAAGGTTAAATATTTGTAGTAAAATACTCATACTGATGATTTTGCCGACATTTGACACTTATTTCCATCCTGCCACTCATTTGTATTTCCACAATATTCACCCTTACTCTGACAATGAGTGGCCAACCTTAACACTAACCAGGCAGTGAATGCAAGCCATTCAGAAGCAGAGCTGGGAGGGTCTTTGTGGAATATGAGAATCAAAAATGTAGATAATAAAAAGGTTTAAGTGGATAAAACTAATAAAGCCTCCAATAGGTTTACAAACCTCTCGGTTTTAATTCTAATAGAAAATAATAGTAAAAATGTAGAATTTTGAGGATTATAATTCTCATATTTAGTGGTGTAAATTTTACTACACTTTCCACTCTTTCACAGTGGAGAACCGTTGCCTTAGACTTGACACTCAGCTGCAAACCACCCCAGTGCAAGCTGGAGTTTGTCATACATTAACTCCAAAAGGAAAGCAAAAGATCTCATCTCTGCTTTTTGCAACGATGAAAGCAAAGCAGAGAAGCAGAAAACCAGGAAATTTGTGTTGTCAGATATTGTCAGTGGAATAACATGAAGGAAAACACGGAGAGTGGGGGAAGTACATAGAGTGGATAGTGAGAATAAAACCCGCAGCCTTGAGTACAGGCCAAGTCTTCGTTTTGGGGAGTGGGGGCAGTTGAAACACAATCTCACACCAGTTTGTAATAAAAAAGTTAGAAAATGCAATAAATATTTTGCATACGCACACACAGAAAAGGAAGAGAGCATAGAATATAGAATAATTTGTGCATTGATTATGGAGGAAACTGCTTATTTGAGATGCTTGATATAGATAGATAGATAGATAGATAGATAGATAGATAGATAGATAGATAGATAGATAGATAGATAGATAGATAGAAACTTCACAAGTAGTCTCAACAGTAAATAGATAATGTGAGTGGACAGCTAACCACAAGCAAGCTTTCTAATGTTGAACAGTGCTTTATTTATTCAGCAGTAAACTCTGTTCAAACCGTTTTGGCATTTCACTGCTTGAAGAAAATAACAGAGCAGCAGTCACTGAGGAGAGAGCCAATACATCTTTGAACCTGACAGAGCTGTCACTTTATAGTTACAGGCAGAAAGCAAATACAA